CATTAAAATCTCAGAGTAAGCCTAAGAGTATGTGAAAATCCCGACACTCGACTGAAAGTGGTCTAAATGCAGCTGTTAATCATCCCCTGGCATCGGATAGATAGATCCACGCGATGAAGAAAATTGCACGGCAGCGGCGGCCTCCGTGGCATTTTGCGGTGCAGAATGTCAATTAAACGGCGTGGCCGATTAACCATAACCGAAACCTCGACAAAGGCCGGAGCGTGCACGGTTTCGCACTCCGGCGGGTTCATCACGCGATAATTTATATGGTAATTCCAGGGACGTAATAAGTCCCCCTCGGCAAACTCTGGCTGCCACTACACACGATCCTCCGGTACGGCCGCGGCGTTCTGCGTTGACCCCGGCGTGGCGTGGCGTTCCATCGGGAGAGGATGGCCTGCCATGTACACATCATTACTAAAAGCGGTCATCGATTCATCGGAGTTCGACCACCGGCCGTGCCCATCGACCGACAGCGGTGTTGTACGCGTCGGTGCATAGACAATATATATATATATATATATATATATATATATATATACACGTAGACTGACATATATATATATATATACGTTGTATATACATATATTTTATATATGCATATATATATGTGTGTGTGTGTGTGTGTGTGTGTGTGTGTGTGTTCTATGCGCCAACCAAGGCGTGTAGACGCGTCCATTGTCAAATTTTCTCACCCGCGATCGACCGTGCGAGATTTAATTAACACCATCTCGTTAACTTTTGTCGCGACCTATCGTGCTCGCTTGATGTTATCTCCCACGAAGATGAGTTTGCTTGCTCCATCAAGTGGATCGCTTGTATCGGTGAATTAACGACACGTTGTTATTTTTTTTTACGCTGCTCAGTTTGTTCACGTTATCTTGATGCATCTCAATAATGTATGAAATATCACACTACATATAGGTGCATACATTTTTTTCAAACATGCAATTAGATTTTTATGTTATTTTTTTTTTATTTTCTGTCTAGGATATTTTTTTACAATGATGTAACGTTAAAAATTCATTCATTAAAAGTTTCAAAAAAAAAGATTAGATTTGAATCGGATAAATTTATTTGTACGATACAATTAATATATATACAGTTAATATACATATTGTAGCTTACATCTTGTTTTTAGCTTCCAATTTGTCAATTCAAATTATTTCTAGATAGCCTGTGTGATAGAAGAGTTCCATACATATTTCAAAATCTGTCGCGCGATTGATGTTGATTCATGGAGACGAGATAGAAGTTATTAAAAGCGGTGATAATCGATGAGGATGGATGGCATAATAACATTACAGTGAAGCGGTTTACTCATAAATTTTGTTTGCCTCGCCAAAATCGAAAAACCGCGAGGCATCGCTAGGGCGTGAATATATTGACACAAATGTGGCTCCAACATCATAGCAGTATTTATTTTTCCGGAAATTTTTATCACAGTGAACGGGCACAAGTATTGAATACCCATTGCATATATGTAGTACTCTTTTTACGGACAAATTATAGATGTATCACCTTGAAAATTCTAAAAATTTATTTCTGCTTGTTAACACTAGTTGGCATTGCAAAATATTTTTTATCGTAACATTTATTTTGTGCGAACACACGCAATCCTGAATACTTTATTTATGTTAAATAAAATAAATTTATTTTTGCCGAATAATGATCGCGAGTTTATTTCTGACGATAAACAAAGGACCAATTAACAATTTAATTTCTTGTGTCATATATAAAGATTTTTTTAATTCTAAAAGCTTAAAGATATATTCTTTCCTTGCAAACAATAGTGCAAAGTAGAGAAATGCTCGCGCAATTTTAGCGACGATAAAAAGCAAAGAAAGGGATGCGCTACGAATAAGAGGAAAGGTAACGATTTCCGTTTAATTTACCTCGAAAGAGAGCTCCACGTGTCATAGACCGAGTGCTATCGAAAGTTCAAAGTAGCAGTCGATAGAAAACAAACGGGTCCATCGCCGCGCCGTTTATAGACGTCGCGTTCGAGATCAGAGAAGGAAGGCATCGAGTCCTAACGACCATTCCGTTCGATTGCAGTGATTACAAAGTCGATTGTTAGTGACTCTTTGAAGCTCAATTATTCTTGGTAATGACTCCTCTATTTAATCGCAGATATACATACGTAGCAGCGCTTACATACATTATGATCTCGGAAACGTTTTAGAATCGGAATGTATTAAATACAAATAATTAGAGAGCATTGATGCAAATACAATTGCAAAATGTGAGAGCTTGCTTTCAAGGAAACGAGAAATATCCCTATATGTGTTCTACTTGCAATTATAAAATCATAAAAAAATTCGTCTATGAACGTGTCCTCCCATATCTTTCGCGGCAAATATAGTGAAGCATTGTCTATCTACAGATATATTAAGGTGCTCGAAACTCTATTGCGTCCTCGCTTCGCTCTCTCGCTCCATAATCTACGATGTAGTTTCGTCTTCATTTGCCAAATGGTCGGTAAATCTACGCGGCGCGACATCGTCACTGACTGTAGGAAAGATGGTTTAACATCACGGCATCCAACCATCGTAGGGGCGTTACGATGAAACTTAACTGCGATGTAAACCTACTTTCGCTCCACTGGATGCTGCTAGATGAACAGCGCGTTTCTCACGAAGTCGCACGAACCATTTAACGATTCCCCGAGTAGGATTACGTGCCGCGATCATGATGATCTGTTTTTGTAGGCTTGTAACGTTGAACAAAATTGCAATACATCAATTATAGGGTATATAGTGTCTAATACTCATACGAAAACAAATATAAGCTTGAGAGAGAAAGGAAGAGAGAAATTGATCTTTATTTTGTTCTTATATATAATACACATGAATCCATCATATTAAAAGTTATAAATTGTATGAGTTTTTTAACTTTTATGAGTAAAGTCTAAATATAGATAAAACAATTTATTATACTTAATTAAAGTCGAACGAAATATTTGAACGTGAATGACGATCTCGTAATGAGTTGAATACTTTTAGTCTCGTGAGAAATAATTAATTTTTGCAATGCAATAAACGAAAATACAAATTTATTTTAAAGCTTTATAAGCGAAAATAAATGTTTCAAATGTATATACTTTGACGTAAAATAAAAATAGCATTACGCAATATATTTTTAATATATAAAGATACGATTTTAAGATGAAAAAAAAGCAAAATGTCTGTGATATTACCGAAAAAGAAGAAACGCGAGACTTTCAGACTGTCACTTTCCCGACCTGCAGAAAACAACATTCTTGAAACGAAAGACTGGTCGTGGAAATTGGATTGTCCTTCGAAAGCCCCTGGGGTGTCATGCGTAGGAACGCGGGATGATTCATTCAACACTACATCCGTGAAATGTTCTGAAACGCGCGTTCTAGAATCCTGTAGAAGAGAGTAAGCTATAAATAGAAACGAAATTTCGCGCGTGTTGGTGTATTCTCGCGAGAAGATTTTATGGACCGTTTAAAATGCACTCTTGCCGTATGAAACATTCAATTTTATCGGATTCATATCGGAATTGTGCATGTGCGCTCGATATAATAATAAGATTTAAGTAATATTATATTGAAGTAGATTATATTTCTGTTACACTTGCTATATTAGATTAAAGAGGTAATCGATGAAGATCTAATATTGAAGAAGCAGAAATTGCATATTTATTTTGTCATTCATTGAATATCTGGATATACATAAATGATGAACGCCTGCACGCAATTGCGTTACAACTATAATGTATAAGAAAATGTTATTACAAATATTGACACGTATAATAGAAAGAATGAATATCGTATATAGATATTTTAAATGTAATTTGTAGAAAAGTGGAAAAATTCTACGTACTTACGCGCACGTAATTACAAATTGCCCCGGCTACTCGAATTTAAAAGTGAAATAACGAAAGTAAATAAAAGTTAGCGTTTGATGGTTGTTTGTTTATATGAACTTTTCTCATTATTTTGTTTAGTAGAACACACATTCTCTCTCTCTCTCTCTCTCTCTCTCTCTGATAAAGTTAGATTAAACATTTTAGAAACACTCTGTACCACGCCGGCTAATCATAGATATACATTCAACATTTATTCGTGCAATTACGCCGAACAAGAGAAGCTACTCTTTAAATGGATGTAAAATTCACGAGATTACACGACATGAGGATTTGTGTCTCCTTGTCCTCCAATTGCGATTAAATGTTTCCGCCCTCTTGCGACTTTGATGCTCCGTTTCTAATATCGCTATTCTAGTGACAAAAAGAAGAACATTTTATCATTTCTTTTTGTTTCCCGTGGTTATAGCGTTTGTCGGAGCATACTCACAAGAAAATACAGTGACGGTACCCAAGGATAAACTCGCGTCGTAGCGCAAATGTAAAATGACATGAACATTAAATAAAGCCTAGAATAGCGACAACATTCTGCGCGTCCTGCAAAGCCTCTTAGATAGAAGTAAATTGTAAGTCTCTTACCCGACTGGTCAACGCCGTAAGCACTTTCGTTTGGTCGGCAAAAACAGCTTGGAGCGTAAGGAGATTAGAGTCGTTATAGCGTCAGCCCCGGAGGACAAAAGTGGAGGAAGTTTCATGCGAAAGTCGCGACCCTTGTCTAACGTTTCGCCATCTCTCGCAAACGCAAACCGTGCAAAGTGACGGAAAGCCGCCTACCGCTACAAAAGAATCACAGTCGAGATGTACTAAAGTACAAGTTGCGTAACGGTGCAGACGACGTTGAGCTTGCGCGAGAAAGGAATAATTCACGCGACGAAAATGCGAAGAAAGTTTCTCTCTCCGCCATGTCGCGATGCTATATAGCAAAAGAATCTCGTCTGTATACGATGGAACGCGCAGTCTAGATTTCTTTCCGCGTTCAAATAAAAATTCTTTCTTAGCTTTTTGTAGTTATTGAAATTTCCATAGATTAATACGTAAATCAATTGAACGTTACATTTTCGATTGATATAATTTTTCGAAAGAGTAATTTCAGATATACTTACAGTGATGCGTCAGACTGGTGGTCAAAATCTGCTTATTAGCTTCCGCGTACTCGGCAGAGCTGAAAACAAGAAATTACATAATTTCAAATAATTGTTAATAATGTTAAGTAAAGCAGAAATATCATTAATTATTGATAAATAATGTATTTTATTCAAAATAATTTCTGCTATAATTATTATTAGTTGTATGTGCAATACAAACATCTTAATAATTATGAAATTTCTCAGTACAGATAAATCTCGGTTTATGCGGGTCTCGAGGATTAATGCAGCTACTTTTCTTAGAAAGCACGGTAGGAATGCTTGACTAGATATGTATGCAAAGCGGCCCGCATTTTATTTTATATGTCTGTTGCTTCTACACGCTATGCAGTAATCTACATAAAGATAATTTTAATATGTAAAACTTTTCGTGTTTACCGTCACATAGGCAACGTATAATTTTAAGAAAGCGAAATAGAAGATGATAGAAACATGTGCGCATAATTTTTTTTTCACCAAATTGCATATTATACTAAAATTATTTTTTAATTTAAAGGAACGATCCAAAACTGTTGATATAAAAGTTACTGTTAAATATAAATATAAATATAGCGTAGAGAGTAATTGCACAAAGAAATGTATAGAAAAAAAAAATAATCTTATAATATCCGAATAGGCTTATTTTTAATAATCGACATATGATATAAAAAAAATATAAATGATCTACATATATCAGACGACTCTCAAACGGATGTCTCGGATAACTCGTTTGTGCCGGCGGTGCATGTTTGATGCCGGAAGTGGCTCGACTTCCAGGCCCCACCGTCATCCTCTCGTAGCGGTTTCCGCTAGCTCCGTAGGGTCATTAGCCAACCATTCATTATGCAACTGCGAGGCAGTATTGCGTCAATATGGGGGGGCGGCAGATTGTTGGCCCAATCGATAACAATGCGCCGTGTTTACCAGTCGGATAATCAACAGATGCAGCCTCGCCTTCCAAGACCAAGCAAGTGGGAATTACGGTCCGCCTCGCTCCGAATGATATTGCGTTCCGGAAGTGTTAACTTTCCTCGTCCCCCCTCCCCTTCCTCCTCGGTAATCCGACGACGTCGATTGCTGCTACCTCTACTATCTCGCAAGTGCCTTTTAGTCAGAAGCGAGCACGATTACAAGCTCATCAATGCTAAATGATACACATGATCGAAAAGCTGTTCGGAATTTGTAGCCTAATCGCGCAGATATCGTTACTCGTGTGATCGAATTATTCCGATATGATTTTCCACTCTGCAATTTACATGGTCGAGGTAATTCGAACGCATAAATCGGCTTTGTAATTATGCGTTTATAATTATACATGGATGAAATGTATTGATTTTCTAGAGAGATTGCTCAAAGTGTTCAGCCACACGTGTTGAATTATGTAGAAAAAAAAATGACATATTTGAACAAATGATAGAGCCAAAAATCGCGATATAGAAGCCAGCAATAACATTAGAACGGTGAATGATATTTCATCGAGATTGGTCGCGCTAAACTCGCGCGGTATCACTGTACACGACAAGCTATGTATTTTGATGCGTTCGTTACGAGCTTGCTTTAATCGCGATTGCAGGACGGTCGAGCGCGTTCAATCGCTCGAACCCAGCCGAACTCTGTATAAGCCAGCGTCTGTGTGAAACGACGAAAATGGAGGAAAAGAGAGAGAGATGCCGGAAGTACGGGTGTCGTGAGATGAAACGTCGAGCGCGATATTCCCGCGCGCAGAACGACGCTCCCTTTGATCTAAGTTGCCGGGAAAGCGAGGCGAAGGGACAGCGTGCGTAGCTGTCGCCCAGAAAGTTGAGAGTAATTTGCTTAGTTGGATTAGATTGTGAATTTTGTGCCGCGGTGTTTGAGTCGCCGTTCGTCTCGTCGCTTCCTCCCTCAAGTACCGTCTTTCCGTTTCTCTCTTTCTCTCTCTCTCTCTGTCTTCCTCCAATTCACTATCATCGGTCCTTGCACTTCTATCGCGCTCCCAACCTTATAATTACAATATCATCTTCAGAAATGAGCTTGCCAATTCGTTGGATAATGCAGATGGTCCCTGATTTTCCGTGCTTTGATCTGTTGGGCTAAAGCGATCGCGGCAGCGGAACCACGCAGCCGGGAGTAATATTTATCCGTCGTCGAACACGACGGATATAAACGAGTCGTGCGACTTTTGGGATCGTATGATCGCACGTCTACCGGAACGAGACGAGATTTTGCGCGGATAAAGGGAGATCATATTTTCCTCTTCGATATAGCATTAATCCGAATTTTTCTTTTCATTTGTGTATTTTTAACATTTTTATATACACAACCAGTATAACAAAACAAATTCCTACACAACTCGATTCACATTTACTCTGTCCATATACGCGATTTGCACGCGCACGCGCGTTACGACAATTCGTCGTGATCGTCGAATCACACTCTTTTGCAAATAATCGCACACGCGCTATGCCATGCGATCGGTCGCTCAGAGTGATCGGGCCGACCCAAATTCCATTAGTGTCGAATTATGCGTGGAGCTTTCGTGATTCGCGTGTAGATTACGATATCGGTAGACGCGCGTACGTACGTGTATGCTCGGGACGCACGAGTGCACGCACGCAGAGAGACAGAGAGAGAGAGAGTCGGATATAATCCCGTCGAAACGGTGCGGTGGTACGTTTCCGTATGCACGCTCGGTGGCTCGGGGTGTATCTGTGAACGGGAGGGATGCCTAACGGCATTGCGAATCCTATACAAGAGACTTCGGGCACGAATGGCGGATCAATGTTTTATCGATATTGCAGCAGACGCAGCGCTCTGATGTACGTCTCGAGTCGGTGATACGTATATTGCGCGTGCTTTCTACCGTTTGCAAGAGGATTTATGGATTAGCGTTTGTTTATCGTCGCCCTTGCTACTATTTTTCCCCGGTCGGCCGTTCGCGTTTTTTTTCTACCCTCTCCCGGACGATCCGCAGACGCGGAAAGGGGCATTAAAATAAGCGATCCGAGAAAAAGTACGAGACTCGCGACACTCGATACACGTTATGATTCTTCCGCGTGCGTCTCTCATTTTCCTTTTTTCTCTCACATTACACGCGGAAAACTTTATTCGAAAGAAATATATTTAGGAATATAATCTGTTTCTTCTTTAATTCTTTTGCAAGTTATCGTTAGTTGGATTTATTTAATTTTTATATATAAATAAATTACGCAAAATTATTCGATATCGAGATATATACATATATATGTATATATATTTGAAAATAAAATGAAACAATTTTGCGATCATACAATTGGGGAAAAAATGCTTGGCGGAAGGAAGCAGCAGAATTTCTGTAATGGGTAGAGAAGACATAAACGAAACATGTTAGAGTAGACAAAGAAGCGATGTGCCTAGCTCATGGTCGAGCCATGCATGAACGCGCGCCTAGAATCCGCGATGTCGACAGCAGAGAGGAAGGTAGAGACGTGAAGGAGAAGCGGGAACGGAGAGGGAAGGCCAGAGAGAGGTTACCGCCGTCAGGAAACTTTTGTTTAAAATTGGAATTCCTTTGCGGCTCGTTGGGACTAGGAATGCAGATAGGGCGGAGGCGACGAAAACCGTGAGTGGGCGAGAGACGAGGTCGCCCGGTGGAACGGAAGAAATGCGGATGGCTGCTGAAAAAGGCGACGTACGATATTGTTTCATCATAAAGGAAAGCTTCTTGCTCGCGGGGCGAAAGCTTTTAAGGAACGCGCCGTCAAAACTTAAGCGCGTGTTGACGCACGCCTCTGCCGCGTAAACATTTTGATATACACCGCGGATTTTCGCAAATTAGACCGACGTGCGCATATATCGATCGTACGCCGCGACTGCTAACAACAGTCGACAGAGATGGCTAGTAGTAATGTAGGACTAGTAGTAGTAACAGTCACAGTAGTATCCGTCCGTAAGTAGTAACAGTCACAGTAGTGTCCACCAGTAGTAAGGGATTATTTTATTCGGACGTTTCGTCAAGTTTAATCATAATATTGCATATAATAATAAAATTTCATATTATTAATTATTATATTATCAATATATATATATTATTAATTTTATGTTATTAATTTTATATTATTAATTTAAGATTTTTTAAGAGAATAAAAAGAATTATAGAATTACGTATCAACTTTATTGAAGTTATAGATATGACTAATGTAATTTCAGAGTGAGAGAATGAATAAGATTCGATTCGCGCGGATTTATACATTTCGAATAAGCCGTAACAATTGAGCAATTACGTGTTGGCCCAGTATAGCAATCGTTTAATTAATTCGCAGGTATCTCACGTACGTCTGGAATCATGTTCCTGGTACGTGTGCCGCTATCGTGGCTAAACGCATTAACCCATAATTATCGAAATTACAGATCCGTGCGACAGCCAACCGAGGAGGCTCCACACTGTGTGTCGTCTTCCAGGATTCTCTCTCCTCTCGCCTGCTATGTGGCCCACTGCGGGTAAGTGCATCCCATCTCGCTAATTATTCCAACATAGCCACCGCAATTTTCGAGTCGTTTTTCTTCCTCTCGCTTACTGGCTTAAGAAAGCGGATTACGATGGCTTCATCGTTTTAAGAAAATTCACTCGCGAGAATTTTCTTTCGTGGAAGGCTCGATATTAGTATATTGTGTCAATCCGCACGTGATACACATACTATTTTGTATTACAAGTGCAGGCAAAGTGGCTTTGTGCGCGTTTTCTGGGCGCGAGGTGGTCGATCGCCATCTTGCGGCGGCGTGGGAAATCGGCCGCTTTCCGCACAGAAAACACGCACACAAAGTGCCACTTTGCCTGCACGTGTAATACAAAATATCAAGTCACACTCGCTGCGTCGATTATATATGAGTCCGAGTCGTTGTTTGCGTAGAGCGAGTTTCAGGAATGTCGAAAGAGCGCGAAGGTGGCGAATATTTTACAGAGAAAGTGGCACCTGGCGTGGAAGACGCCTTTAATTTGCAGTTGGTACGATGTCGCGAGGGGCGTGGGGGGATGGGATGTCTCTCGTTGGAATTTCGCATCGAAATCGATCACCCGGAA